AAATATTGAACAATATCATTAATATCACCCACAAGTAAAATTTTGCTGAAGATGATTCAAAAGTGGTTGCAGCAGTACATTGACAGGGACCTGCCAGAAATTCAAACCAGATTCAGAAGAGGACATGGAACGAGGGTTATCACTGATGTCAGATGGATCTTGGCTGAAAGCAGAGAATACTAGAAAGATGTTTACCTGTGTTTTATTGACTATGCAAAGGCATTCGACTGTGTGGGTCGTAACAAATTATGGATAACATTATGAAGAATGGAAATTCTGGAACACTATTGTGCTCATGAGAAATCTGTACATAGACCAAGAGGCAGTCTTTTGAACAGAACCAGGGGATACTGTGTGGTTTAAAGTCAGGAAAGATGTGCATCAGGGTTGTATCCCTTCACCATCCGTATTCAATCTGCATGCTGAGCAAATAATCAGAGAAGCTGGACTATATGAAGAAGAACGCAGCATCAGGTTTGGAGGAAGACTCATTAACAACCTGCGATATGCAAATAACACAACCTTGAAAGCGAAGAGGACTTGAAGCACTTACTGATGAAGATCAAAGACTACAGCCTTTGTATGGATTACACCTTAACATAAAAACAAAAATCCTCACAACTGGACCAATAAGCAACATCATGATAAACGGAGAAAATATTGAAGTTGTCAAGGATTTCATTTTACTTGGAACCACAATCAACACCCATGGAAGCAGCAGTCAAGAAATCAAATGATGCAACTGCACTGGACAAATCTGCTACAAAAGATCTCTTTAAAGTGTGAAAAAGCAATGATGTCGCTTTAAGGACTAAGGTGCGCCTGACGGAAGCCATGGTGTTTTCAATCGTTTCGTATGCATGCGAAATCTGGACAATGAATAAATAAGACAGGAGAAGAATTGATGCCTTTTAATTATGGTGTTGGCAAAGAATATTTAATAGACTATAGGCTACCAGAGAAATGAACAAATCTGTCTTGGAAGAAGTATAGCCAGAATGCTCCTTAGAAGCAAGGATGGCAAGAATTCGCCTCACATACTTTGGACATGTTATCAGGAGGGACCAGTCCCTGGAGAAGGACATCATGCTTGGTAAAGTAGAGGGTTAGCGAAAAAGAGGAAGACCCTCAATGAGATGGATTGACAAGTGGTTGCAACAATAGGCTCAAGCATAACAACAGTTGTGCGGATGGCGCAAGACCGGGCAGTGTTTTGTTCTCTTGTACATAGGGTCACTATGAGTGGGAACCAACTCTACGGCACCTAACAGCAATGTAATCTTTATGGGAGCAGATCACCAGGTTTTTTCTCCCACCAAGCCACTGGTGAGTTCCAACCCCCTACCTTTAGGTTAACAGTCGAGTGCAAACCACAGGCCTTTCTGTAAGGAGCCAAGCGCTTAACCATTGTGCCACCAGGGCTCTTTTCAAACAACTAGCTTTTTAGAAAAATTTTTAGATGACTTTTTTCACTATTTCTACCTTTAACTTTTTTTTTTCCTCTCATTTCTATGAATCTCAATTTTGTAGCTCTTCCCAGTATACTGAATTAACAAAGTATGAGTTAGGAATGTTTTCAGCTGCAGGTAAGAGAAAACTTGAATAAAGTTTGCTTAAAGAAATAGATGTTTTGTTTTGCTTTATTTTGTTTTGTATTCACATAAGAAGTCAGCTATAGGTCGTTGCTGGCATAGGTTCAACTGTTTAACCATCAATAACCCTCTTGGTCTCTTCTGCCTTTCTATTTGGGTGTCCTAAGTGTGTTGGTTTTTTGACCCAATGATTGTCACCTACTTCATGATGACAAGATGGCTGTCACAACTCCAGACAGGACATCCAAAAAGGGTAAGAGATGGCACAAGCTAAGCTTCCTCAGTGTCTATTGAAAAACAACTTATCTTGCCCAAAAACCCACAGAACACCCCTCCTTATATCTCATTTGCCAGAACTGTATCACATGGCTGATTCTAATTGCATGGGAGTCTGGGAAAGCAAGTATTTAGTTTTTTCAGTTCTAATGTGGAGATGAGTAAGAAAAAAGGGGGTTAGGAATGGCTGTTGGATTAGCCACCAACAGTGTGTGACAAACAACTGGCTCATTTGTTTTCAATCTTCCTTGTTTTTATTCGATGCCTTTTGGATGAATCCTCACGCTCATCTTTTGCTTACCATTTCATCTTGGCTATAACCATCCTTCAAACCCAGTATTTCCCACTGATTTTCTGCTTGTTCCTGCCTTATGTTAACAATATCCTCCCTTACCTTTTGAGAATATTTATCAGGCTTATTTTAGACTTGTTAGGTCTATTAATCCTGCTTCATGTAATGTAAGTTTATCTGTTGTTTTTCTTTTATTGCAGATGTATTCCCCTTTGGCTTCAGTTTACTGTGGAGTTGTCAGTGAACTTGGCCAGTAATAGGGATGGGAAAGAGCTAAAGCCCAGACCCTAGGATATGAAGGAGAAGGTGAGAAGATAATATTTCGTGTCCACTGATCTGGCCCAACCTAGCCAGGCTTGAGTACTGGGATGGTGCTACTGGTTTTCTACCTCACAGTGGCAATGGTACAGGCAACAATCTACCCAGGGTCTTGGGCGGGGGTGTGGGCAGGGGTGAGCACAACCAAAAGCTCTCAGCCTCAGCCTGACGCCCATCTCAAAGTGCCGGACCCTCTTCCACTCTGGAGGAGTCACATTCTCCCCGCAGCTAGTCCCCAACCACGTTCTCTCTCCATGGATTTCTGTTTTTACCTTAGTTTCTCAAATCCTCAACCTCTCTTCACTTCTTTCTCTTCTTAGTTGTTTCTTAATGGAAAATTTCAAGCAAACAGAAGTCATTTCATGCTGCTCTCCTCCTCACCGAGGCTTCCAGCCACAGTGGCTTTCAGTTTTTCAAAGAAGAGTTTTTTCCTGAGTTCTCGCCTCAGGGCCTTTGCACATACTGTTCTCAGAACATAGTCTGGAAGGCTCTCCACCTCCTTGGCCTCCATTTTGCCATGGCTGGCTCCTTGTTTTTCTCCAGACTCAGGTTAAATACTACTTCAAAGATTAATCTGGTCCCTTTATCTAAAGTATGTTCCTACTTATTTTCTATCTCCAGCACACAGTCTCCCTCAAAGCACTACCACAATTAGCAATTTATTTGTTACTTCTTTTTGTCCCCTGCTCATACTAGATGTTAGATCAGAGGGCAGGGACTGTGTCTTGTTCACTACCTCCAGGGCCTACACCATGCCTAGTGCGTCGTAGACAATAAATATTTGGTGAATTTGTTTCTTTCAGGCACTTTATACACCTCATTTAAATCTCGCAATAACTTAACGAAGAAGGTAACGTGCTCCCCTCGCGCAAAGAAAACCGAGTAAAGCTTCTAAACTTGTCCGAGGTCAATTAGCTAGTAGCTGAAAAAGCCGGAATTCGAATCCATGTCTATAGGACTCCAGCACCCTCACTCTAAAACACTATACATAAGCCTTCAGGGAACCCAGGCGTACCGGGAGGAACGAGTATAAACCCGGGAAGCGGAAGCCGGGGACCTCAATGGCTGTCGTAGCTCCCAGCAGACACAGCGCGCGGGCGAGTGACTAAGGGAACGGGCGGTCCCGGGCGCCGGAAGAAGGACCAGAAACTACGTATACCAAAAGGCTCCGCAGGGCGCCGCTGGCTGGCGAAAGCGAGACGGGCGACGGCGTGATGACGTTGCGAGAGACGCTGGCGCGCGGGATTTAAACTGCGGCGGTTTACGCGGCGTTAAGACTTCGTGGGGTTAGGAAGAGTTATAGTTTTTGGTACTTGGCGTTTCTCTTCACGGCTGACCCGTCAACTGCCCATGGACTCGTCGATTCAGAACCGACTGTTCCCCGGTCTCGCCATCAAGATCCAACGCAGTAACGGTGAGGGGCGGGGTCCTGAGGCCAAGGGGACCTGTGGGCGGTGAGATGGCTGACATTACTGTCCCGCCCCCAAATGGCAGGATCCTGAGGCATCCTCTTCAGGATCTCGGTCTCTGCGCTGGCTATTGGTATTCCCTACCTCGTGCTAGGAGCCTCAGCGCTGGCTTGTGTGCCCTCCCAACCCTCCGGGAGTGGGCGCGGCTTCTCCGCGGTCATTGGATCTCCCAGAGAAATTAGGGCTGCTGGGTTCACCTCGCTTCCAAAATTCTCCCCTGAAACAGCCCTGCTTGTGTAGTGAAGTGGACTTCCTGACCCTTCTCCTCGCCAACAAATATTGCGCACTTGCAGTATGTCAGGCGCTGGAAATTCTGCTGTAAACCATACAGACAAGATTTCTGCTCTTAAGTAGCTTGCAATCCTCTCCTCTCTTTTTTGATTAAGCAGCTGCGCAGCTCTGGCAGGTCCAATACCCGTGTGGTTAGAAGAATGATCAGACGTGCCGCCAGGAGTGAGTGAGGGAAACCCAAGGGGGCTAGCCTTAGTGCTGTGTTGAGCAACAGTTTACCTAAGGATTACAGTGACTCCTTTACCCAAAATACCTTCACCTACTCTAGGCTTTCTTTTGAGTGGGAGGTGAATCCTTATCCCATGAAGCTCGGTTTTGAGACCTGTTCCCTCCCTGCCCATCTCACTGTGGATGCTGTTCTATGGGTGAAGCCTCCAGGAGGTTTATTTGTCTCTTTAGTGTTTAAAAGGAGCCCTGTTGGCGCAGTGGTTAAAGCGCTCTGCTGCTAACCAAAAAAGGCAGTTCGAACCCACTAGCTGCTCCGCAGGAGAAAGATGTGGCAGTCGGCTTTGGTAAAGATGAACAGCCTTGGAAACCCTATGGGGCAGTTCTACTCTGTCCTGTAGGGTTGCTATGAGTCGGAATCGACTTGACAGCAGTGGGTTTGGTTTTGGTTTAGTGTTTAAAAAGAAAGAAAGGCAGCTGCCTCTTAATTCAGGTAAACACATATTGAGAGTCTCTGGGATCCTAAAAATGAAGTGCCAGCCCTCAGGGAACAGATAGGTAACTCTGGCCTTTCCATACTGTAGGTTTAATTCACAGTGCCAGTGTAAGGACTGTGAACATGGAGAAATCCTGTGTTTCAGTGGAATGGACAGAAGGAGGTGCCACAAAGGGCAAAGAGGTAGGTTCTATGAGATGGCGTCTGCATTTAACATCTTCCTACATAAAGAGTCTGTGTGGAAATGGAACCTGTGAGAGCCTTGTTTCTGATGCTTTGCTGCCTTCTCTAATCTTAAACTTGGTCCTCTTTGGATGCACTGGGATTTCATTTAGTCAGGCCTGTTTTTTTTTTAAATATTTTATTGTGTTTTTGGTGAAGGTTTACACACAGCAGTTTATGTTCCCATTCAACATTTTCTACATGAAGTGTTCAGTTACATTGGTTACATTCTTCACAATGCGTGAACATTCTCATTATTTCCGTTCTGGTTGTTCTGTTTCCATTAATCTAGTTTCCATTCTCATCTTTATTTTAAAGTAATTGTTGCATGTTGGGTCTTACAGGTGATTTTTTAAAGGAGCACAGTATTTACGGGTGATATTCATTATTTTGTGAGCCAATCTGTTATTTAGCTACAAGGTGACCTCAGGGCTTAGTTTCTGTTCAAGGTTTAAAGAGTGTCTCAGGACAGTAGTCTCGGGGAGTCCTCCGGTCTCAACTAGTCTAGTAAGTCTGGTGTATTTTTTAATTTTTTTTTAGGGAACTTGAGGTTCTGTCCCACATTTTTCTCCTATTCCACCAGGGCCTGTCTATTCTGGCCCTGATTAGAACAGGTCGGTAGTGGTAGCCAGTTACCATCTAGTTCTTCTGGGGGCCTGTTTTAAATTGAAGCAATCAACAGCTTCTGGTATATTTGTACAGAGAAAATTGCACAGAATTCTAAAACCTTGCTTACCCAAGTCAGCTTCTGACTGCACACTACCTGTGATATTGGTTTGGGGAGCAAAATAGATAATCCAGTTGAGACAAAAATATGTTTCTGAAATACAAAATAACAGAAAGCAACTTGTGATGGATAGCACAGATGAGGAGTGCTAGAACAGCTCATAGGTGGAGACTTGGGGGCTGGGGTGTAAGAAAGCAGTAAGATGGCCCAGTGAGACTAGTATTGAAGCTGGTCCCCAGGAGCGGAGGGCTCAGGATTCTTGGCAGCAACAAAAAAGGCTGAAAAAAGACTGGAGGGTCTTCATCTCTGGCACTAAAATGTTTAGATTTTTAGTGGTTTGTTGTTGTGTTTGTTTGTTTATAAGAAGAGAAATTTATTGTCTTACAATTCTGGAAGCTAGTAATCTGAATTTAGGGTGCTGGCAGGATCATGTTCTCTCGAAGGCTCTAGGGAAAGAGCCTTTCTGGTCTCTCCCAGATTCTGTTAGCCTTAGACATTCCTTGGCTTACAGTTGCAGCATCACTCCTTTGTCACATAGCCTTCTTTTTGTCTAAGATGTTCAGGTTTTATTCTGTAGGCAGTAGAGAACATTGGAAGGGTTTTAAGAAGAGGAGAGGCATTTCTGTGTTAGAGGCATTGTGGTGTAGTAGAAAGGTCACCAGACTAGGAGTATGACAACTTGGATTCTCTCTGGCTCTGCTACTACTCAAGCAAGTTTTTTCCCCTCTTAGAAATTTAGTTTCCGTATCTGTACAGTGAGGATGATAATACTCAACAAATCCTTTTGGCCTGATTCCAAAATGCCAGATAGTGTGTTCCATCCTGGGGATACAAAGGTGAATAAGACAAACTTGGTCGCTCTTTCGTGGAACTTAACAAGATAACATGTGTAAAGGGCTTGTTTAGCACAGTACCTTGTGACAGGTATGCAAATACTATATTTAGATAGTATCATGGATTGAATTGTGTCCCCCCAAAATATGTGTCAACTCAGGCCATGATTTCCAGTATTGTGTGGTTGTCTTCCATTTTGTGATTGAAATTTTTTGTTAAAGAGGATTAGGGTGGGATTGTAACACCCTTACTAAGGTCACATCCCTGATCCAGTGTAAAGGGACTTTCTCTGTAGTGTGGCCTGCACCACCTTTTATCTTACAATAGATAAAAGGAAAGGGAAGCAAGGGGGGTGGAGGGTGGGGTGACGATGACCTCATACCACCAAGAAAGCAGCACCGGGAGCAGAGCACATCCTTTGGACCTGGGGTCCCTGTGCAGAGAAGCTCCTAGTCTGGGGGAAGATTGATGAGAAGGCCAACAGAGAGAGAAAGGCTTCCCCAGGAGCTGACACCCTGAAGTTGGACTTTTAGCCTACTTTACTGTGAAGAAATAAATTTCTCTTGTTAAAGCCATCCACTGGTAGTATTTCTGTTATAGCAGCACTAGGTAACTAAGACAGATGGTATATTTGAGGAATAAATGAAAGGATTGAGTACTTTACATCAACTTCCCCTGAAGAATCAAGAGGATCCTAAAATTCTTTTCAACCAGCTACTAACAGTTCCTTGTGAGTTTTGTTGCTGTTTACTAGTATAGCTCTTATTAGGTCTCTCATTCCCAGCTCAAATATTGCTTTTGGGATGAGGCCCAAATTTCTTAGTGAGGCATCCAGAGCCTTTTCATAATCTGACTCCAGTCAACGTTTTTCTTTGTATTTCACACTTTTCTTCTCAGATATCCTGTGTTCTGGACAAACAGGTTAGCCCACAACTCTGTGAATGTGCCTAGTGCCTTGCTGCTTTCATACTTTTACTCTTGTTGCTTCCTCCCGAATGCCTATCATCTCACATCATAAATGTGAGAATCCGTTAATGTCAGAGCTAGGATTAGAACTCTGGTCTCCAGTGTCATTTACGCTCTCTGTAGTTGGGGGGTTGGAAATTGGGAAGACATGTATAGAAGAGGTCCGTAGCTGTCGATGTTATGTGGACAGAGTATGGTTACTGAGCCATTTGCCAGCTTTTGCATTTGGTGATTGTTTCCTCTCCGTCTTATCCCACGCTGCTTTGGCTTCTGGCCCTTTTTGCGTAAGATTTCTCTCCCTCATTTGATGTGAGCTCCCCAAGGCAAGAGCGATTATGTCTTAATTCATCTTTGACTACCTTTCCCCTGCACTGCTTAGTGTCTTACTCATGCCTAGTAAATGTTCGAATGAACCAATTAATAAATACAGGTTGCATATCTGGGAGGGAAAGCCCGAACTAACCCTGGAGTACATTTTAGCTGTCACATTTTGAAATACGGATGACCAAGTTGGTACTAATTTGATGTGTTTGAACCTGCTATGGAGTTATGCTGATGAAGCTTGAGTTATTCCTAGAGGGCTACAGGACTCTGATGATGTAAACCTAGAATTGTGATCTCATTACAGGCATGAGCAGGAAGCTGTGCTGGGGAGGAAGTTTTTGGGCGCAGTAGAAAATGTAGGTAGATTTAGGATTAGGTATCAGCTGTCGGGAACTTGCCCCTGCCCATAAGATCCTGTAGGGCCTTCCATTTTGACTCTCACCAGGACAGTTAGAACTTGTTTCTTCCTCTGTGTCAGCCAGCAAGAGGTGCTCCAGGGGCTGTGCCCAGCAGGACCCCAGGAGGACTCAGCAGAACAGTAGGGAGCCAGATGGCCTAGATCTACTGTGGACTGCCTGACTGTTTGCCTGTCTGTTTGCCTTCCTGTTCACCTCATTCTCATCACCGACGTCAACCATTGGCTTGGAAATCAGAAACCTATATCCATCTAGATGGTAAACCACAACTAAGAAAGAAACATTTGTTTTATAGCCATTAGTGCTTAGTGGAAGTTAGAGTTGGCAAAATCTGAATCTAGAGGTAGCCTTGTTTTAGTTTCCTAGTGCTGCTGTCACAGAAATACCAGAAGTGGGTGGCTTTGACAAACAAATTTATTTTCTCATAGTTTAGGAGGCTAGAAGTTGCAGTCAGGCTCTAGGGGAAGGTTCGCTGTGTCCGCTTTGAGGGGAAATCCTTCAAGCTTCTCCTTGGATATCTCCACATGGCACCTGTCTTTCCTCCATTTGTCCCCGTTTCTCTCTGTGCCTGATCAGCTCTTTTTATGTCTCAAAGTGTTTGTCTTAAGACACACCTTACACTGATATAGCCTCACCAGCATAACAAAGAAAACCCTGTTCCCAAATATGATTACATCCATAGGTATAGGGGTTATGATTTACAACACATATTTTTGAGGGACACGATTCAAACCATAATACCTTGTTTGCAAGAGATGAATCTGGATTGAGCAAGCTATGGTGTTGCACTGAAATTTGTATTTGCTCCTTGTAGATTGATTTTGATGATGTGGCAGCAATAAACCCAGAGCTCTTACAGCTTCTTCCCTTACGCCCTGAGAACAATCTGCCCCTGCAGGAGAATGTAACGGTCCAGGTAGGTGCCTGTCATCTGGCTGTAGCCAGTGGCCCCAGAAGACTCACTTGGTTTGTTGGCTCCCTGCTGGTTTGTTTCCTGGGACTGCGCTGTATCAGCAAAGTACATGGGCCCTTAAGAATTGAGAAGAGCCATATATTGTGGTGGTTTGCTTTGTTTTTCAGAAACAAAAACGCAGATCAATCACCTCCAAAATTCCTGCTCCTAAAGAAGGTAAATGGATTTCTCCTGGCCTGTTGCTATGGGGTTTGTGCCAGGAATGATGTGGAAGAGCTGTGGAAGCTGTGAAGCAGACTCATTGCTCCAGTTTAGCAGGTGGCTTCTATGTGAGCTGCGTTCTGTCCTCTGTTCCAAGCATCTTTCTCAGGGAGGAAGAATCGAACTTCAGCTCTTAGACCAACCTTTCAGGGACCCTGGTGCATTTGGGGAGTGTGCTTACTGGCCTAGAAGCCTTTCCTGTAGACTCCAGAGCCTGTTGCTGGGCTATGCTTCCCTCAGGGCTCAGCATTCTCAAGGGAAAAGTTTGCCTCGGAGTGAGGTTTGCGAGCAGGCTGTGAAAAAAGCAGATACCTAGGTCTGGGCTGTTTAGAGGTACAGTTGATGGTGCTTTGGAGAGCTGGTTGGGATGGACAAAATAACGGCAATGCCTCCAGGTCTGTGAGAGGGTTGGGCTTTCTCTGCATAATTAGTCATAGTAAACCTACTTTGGATACAATACACTGTGATTTAGGGGGTGGCTGTAGGCAGAAGCTGCCCAAGAAATCCAGCGTATTACTCAGAGCCAACCGTACCTCGCAGGCCGGTGAGCCTGCACGGTCTAACCCGGTCTTGGGGTTACTACCACCCTGACCTGATCCAGCTACCCCAGAGGCCTTGTGAATACTTTCTGGAGCTTCAGATTCCTGAGGGCCCAGGGTAGACGGTCAAGCTATTCCTAGCTTGGGCTTGGCCTGAGTGGTGTGGTGCTAGCCCTCTTTTGCTGGCTCTACTATTAGGGCCTGCAGGAAAGATGGGGATGGTAGTGGTACCACTCCACATATATGTCCTCACAGGAAATTGCTACAGTTCCTTTTAATGGACAAAATCTTCATAAATGTGCATGCTATCTAACAGTAGAAATGAAATAAAAGATTACAAGTAATTTGGGAAATAGAAAAAAATGTGTTAATTCAGGCTTTTTATAAAAGACACATATAGGCCAGACATTCAGCTTAAACCCTAAGACTTAGAAATTCGCTACAACTTAGTGTTTGCTTACATTATGTATTGTTTCCACATTTCTGACTTGTATTTTATAGGTGATGAGTTGATTGTTTCTGTATTAATGGAGATGAACTATATATAGATGAGTAGAAATAGATAAAAATTGAAGAATAACTAACTCAACAGTTTCTCTTGGTTAAGCATTCTTTAAGATCCCAGAAAATCAGTGTAGCTGATCCCCATGGGTTTTTGATGATGTGGCCACACCTGGCTCTGTAAAGCATCCTGGAGTAGTGGGAAAAGCCCAGATTTTGGAATCTGACAGCCTTGGGTTCATATTCTGGCTCTGCCGCTTACTGGTTGAGCAACATTGGGCAAGTTACTTAATGTCTCTGAGCTTTAATGTCCCCTTTGATCAGATGGGAATGCTGATATTTACCTTAGGTTGTTTCAAGTATAGGAAGGCTATATGTAAAATGGTAGTTGCTGCTGCTGTCAAGAATAATAATGCTTTCAGGGACTTGGATTAGGTCTGTTGCTACTGAAAATTATTCAGATGGGTTATAGGTCTCTCCATTTACTCAGAGAGATGCTCTTGTGGGGAATGTTCTTGCCTCAGGAGCTCCCAGGTTTGCAGAACATGGACAAGTTAAGTTTTGAGGTTGCTGGTACTTGACCTTTCTAATTTTTCCATTCTTTGACTGGAGAGAATGGGAAATTGGTGGGCTCCTTTCCTGGTAGCGGGACCCATCTCACTCTGTGTAGCACCTTGGAGGGTTGTCCCTGACCCCTCCATTGGCCCTTCTGATCATGCTGCCCTGACTGGCTCCTCTCTCGGTTCTTCAGCTCTTCGTGGCCGCTCCACTCGCATGTCCACAGTATCAGAGGTTCGCATCACCACTCAGGAGAATGATATGGAGGTGGAGCTGCCCATGCCTGCAAACTCCCGCAAGCAGCTTTCCGTTCCCAGTGAGTAATGACTCTGCTCTCCCTGTTTGAGGACCTGGAGCAGGCTCCTCACACATTGCCCTGTTGTGGAATATCCTAGGATTCCTACCCCACACCAGCTTTGGTACTTTTCTAACCCTGTCCTACAAACACTTCTCCCTTATCTGGAAATCATTTCTTTTTTTTTTTTTTCCTAACTTTTTCTTGAAACAGTATGTATACAGAGAAGAGTACACATATCATTGAGTGTATAAAACCGTAAAAAACCAAACCTGTTGCCGTTGAGTTGATTCCAACTCATAGCAACCCTACAGGACAGAATAGAACTGCCCCATAGGGTTTCCAAGGAGCAACTGGTGGATTCAAATGCTGACTTTTTGGTTAGCAGTCAAGCTCTTTCTTAACCAGTGTGCCAGCAGGGCTCCCATTGAGTGTATAGCTCAATGAGTTTTCACAAATTGAATACATTCATGTAACTAACACCCAGCTCAAACAAAACATTACCAGCCCTCCAAAAGTCTCCCTGAAGCCCTCTTCCAGCTTCTAGACCCCAAGGATAACTACAATCCTGACTTCTAACAGCATAAATTAGTTTTTTTCTCTTTCTGCACTTTATATAAAAGGTGTTTTAAACTAAATTAAGTAAGTTGCTTATAACTTAACAGAAATAAAGTAGATGCAGATTTTATAAGACACACAATCATTATCTCTTAATGTTTATCAAATTCAGCTGTAAAAAAAAGAAAATAAACAAAAGGGTCACAGCCAGGGATGGGAAGTAATGAGGCATCGTAGATTGTACCTTTGTGTTGCATCAGTATGGCTAGTCATTACCCAAGTTCCTGGTCATTCCTGACTTTTCAGTCTTTGCTCCTATTAACCACCTGGATTCCTGAGGCTTTGGAGAAGTCAGAAAGGCCTGGCTTTTCCCCCAAGTGGGTAGAAAGGCCTTGCCTGGCCGGAGAACCCATGCTTGTGTCAAACCTGAAGAGTTCAGGCCTTCAAAGGCTTTTCTTTCATGGTGAAGCCCATACTGAGCTACTGACGCTCTTTAATGACCGCAGGAGCCAACCCTTGCAGAGAGACTGGTTGCGTTTAGCATGTGTGCGAGTTGAAGGGAAAAGCCCAGCTCTGCTCATACTGTAAGAGCCCGAGTGCTTGCTGAGCTGGCAGTCAGCAGCCAGCAGCCCTTCTCCTGGCTCACAAACTGCTAGGTCATAGTGAGCACAGCTGCAGAATGCCTGCCTGCTTCTCTGGTGACTCTTGTTTCCCCACAGCCCGCCCCCCTAGGCCCTCCTGCCCTGCAGTGGCTGAAATACCATTGACGATGGTCAGCGAGGAGGTGGAAGAGCAAGTCCATTCCATCCGAGGCAGCTCTTGTGCAAACCCTGTGAACTCAGGTAGACATGCTGAGCTGTCTGCTGTCCTACTCCTAGTATAGGATAGGTGGTTAACATTCTGCCCCAAACCTGGCCTGCCTCTGCACCCGAGTTCAAACCCTCTTGGTCATAGAGGGGCGTGTATGTTTCCCTGTGGTCATGGAATCAGTGACCCCAAGAGGGTTTCACAAGAGGTGATCCCCTCCTGACAGCATGGTAGAAGCCTTCTGACGTGGTTGAGGTGTTGCCACAGCTATGCTCTTCACCAAAGCTTCAAGAACAGCTGAGGATGGCCATCAAGACCAAGCAGGGTCTGTCTTGTCTCTCTACGGTTGTTGAGAAAACAGCCACCAAGGCATAGGGCTGAAGTTATTGCTACTCTGACCTCATATTAGCCAAGTTATTACTTTGTGGACTTGTCCACCCCAAGGGTCACATCTCTTCCTTGCCTTGCATATGGTGATTTAAGAGCAAGGATCTAGAAAACACCTTTTCCTGGGAAAGGCCCAGGTCTCAGTAGTAACACAAGAGCAGGCTGACCTCGACAGGTGCAAAGAGTGGGCTTCCTTTTTTTTTCCCCCCTAGTTCGGAGGAAATCATGTCTTGTGAAGGAAATGGAAAAAATGAAGAACAAACGAGAAGAGAAGAGGGCCCAGAACTCTGAAATGAGAATAAAGCGAGCTCAGGTACTTTCCTTGGGAGACTAGGGCAAGGGTTTTTGGACAGGCGTCCTTAACTGAATTCTAACAGATAGCAGATACAGTTGGGCCCCAGCACTTCTGAGGCTCCAGTTCTGATATCCAGGAAGTTTAACTGGTTTTTCTGAAGGCACTCAAATGAAAAATATTTAATGCTGGTTGTCCATTAGGCAACCCCATCACATAGTACAATGGCCAGAGGGCCGCTGGGCAGAGTTGCCTGCTCCCCCCTCCCCCACCCCCTAATCGTGTGTATGTGGGGAGGGGGTGCTGCAATGGAGTTCCAGTTTGGAGCATTTCCTCCAAATTGGCATAATTGTTCTGAGGAAGCCCAGACAGCTGTTGGCCTCCTAAGAGGTGGGATAGTGGCCCTGGCCCCAGTTCCTAGGGTGGTTTGATGCATGCCTAGGCCCCCCTACCTATCTCTGTTCCCCAGGGTTCTGTTCCTGGGTTCTTAGCCTAGAGCCAGGATGGGAGGAAGTGAGATTGTATGGGAGCTTTGTCAGCTCTGAAGGGCTGTGAGCACACAAAGAACTGGAGTTGCTGCCTTTAGCACTGAGGTCTGAGAGCACTTACATCTTAACAGTCAGTCCTTTTTTGCTCTTGTCCCAAACAGGAGTATGACAACAGCTTTCCAAACTGGGAATTTGCCAGGATGATTAAAGAATTTCGGGCTAATTTGGAATGTCATCCACTTACTATGACTGATCCTGTAAGTAAATCCAAAGGACTTCTACCTCTCTAAGGGAGTGAGAGCATTCCAGGAATCTTTACGCACCCTTGAAGTTTTTTAATACCCTTTGGTGAGCTGGAGCTAGTGAGGGCCAGATGGGAGGGTCCTATCTTTACCAGCTGTGCGCCCCCCTCTCCCCTCAGCTATCGTAGGTTGGCCAGATTCTTCCTAATAAGCATGAAAGTAGTGCTGAAACCTCCTATAAGCAGCAGAGTGAGAAAACTGGGAAGAACACTCAGTGCCACCTAATTTTGCTCTGGAGTAGCTAATGAGGGAAGCCGGGGTCCTAATCTTAGATCCTGGCCCCTGACTGGGCCAGATATGGGACCGGAGGGGCAGCGGCTCTGGACAAGTTTTCTTTTGACACTGCTTTGACCCTTTCTGGTTGACTGTCTTCTCTCATCCTCTCTAAGATCGAAGAGCACAGGATATGTGTCTGTGTTAGGAAACGCCCGCTGAATAAACAAGGTAAGCTCTGTTAGGTCAGGGGCTTAGGACTGACTAAGTGTTCCTCTGTGTCCAGGAGCACCCCCTGAAATACTCTCTTTCTGCAGAATTGGCCAAGAAAGAAATTGATGTCATTTCCGTTCCTAGCAAATGTCTCCTCTTGGTACATGAGCCCAAATTAAAAGTGGACTTAACAAAGTATCTGGAGAACCAGGCATTCTGCTTTGACTTTGCATTTGATGAAACTGCTTCGAATGAAGTTGTGTACAGGTTAGTCCCTTATCTCCCCTGCCCCTCACATTTTACCCTCTTCTTTTTGATGTGTGGGGCATTGTGATAACAGTCTCACAGACATGCTGAACTCTGAGGGCCTTTCTGATCCCCTCTGGTGTTTTCCTTGGTCATCCATCACATAGAGCCAGCTCTGGCTCCTAGCACTGGGAAGGGCCCCTTTTGGGCCTGCCACATCCCATTTTGCAGCTTTAGTGGCCCATCCTCGAGTGGATCACAAGTGAGGTATTGCCCATCGTACTCTCTGAGGCTGGGCTGGGCAGGCTCCAGGGGTTCTTCCAGTGTCTTATCATGCAGCCATCCCAACATGACTTAGCAGACACAGGAAATTCTAGAACTGCTCTGTTCAATATGGCACCCACTAGCCACATGTGGCTATTTAAATCTAAAGTTAAATAAAATTAAAAAATCAGTTCCTCAGTTACACTAGCACATTTCAAGTGCTCGATGGACACATGTGGCAGTGGCTAATATTGGACAGCATGGATTTGAGCATTTCTGTCATCACAGAAGGTTCTGTTGAGCAGAGGTCAGCAAACTATGGCCCATAGAACACATCTGCAGCCCCTTTTTGTATGGCTCTCAAACCAAGAATAGTTTTTACATTTTTAAAGGGTTGTAAAAAAAAAAAAAAAGAAGGTGTGACAGAGATCTATGTGTCCTACAAAGCCTAAAATGTCTTAAGCCCCTACTTTAGAGGGTTTCCCCTCATCTTTGTAGTGCACATTTGCTGGATGTCAGCTGCTAAGCCCAGGTTTTCATCTTGTGTCTCTAGTATCAGAGGAGGGGCTGGATAGCTTAGCATGTGGGCTTTCAGCTTCTGGCAGTTCTGTCCAGGCCTCCCAGTTGGCTAAGAGTATTTGAGAGTTGTATGTGAGGCTGGAGTCAGGTGGGACCACTTTGCACATTGCTCAAAAACCACTGAGGCAGGAGAGGAGTGCCAGTGCTTAGAAAGAAGGAGGACTTGAGGACTCTGGGAGTTCTGCCGTGGAAGGGCAGCAGGAACATGTTCCAAGGAGCACATTTTGGGGAGAGATATAAACATCCTTCCCCATCCTTTCTCCTAGGTTCACAGCAAGACCACTGGTACAGACAATCTTTGAAGGTGGAAAAGCAACCTGTTTTGCATATGGCCAAACAGGAAGTGGCAAGACACATGTGAGTATTCTGGGTGGCAGGGAGAGAGCCTGCCCAGGGTATAACACCGAGTCCCTCCAGTACAGATGCCCATCACCAAATACTCTCACCATGCCAGATACAGGGAAGGCCCTTTGCATGTCCATCCTCCTGGATGTGGTGAGGCCCTCTGTGGTGATGCAGCCAGTGTGCTCTGGCCTCGACCAAGAGCCGTTCACGCAGTCTTCTGCCCCTTCCTTTGTAGACTATGGGTGGAGACCTCTCAGGGAAAGCCCAGAATGCATCCAAAGGGATCTACGCGATGGCCTGTAAGTAGTGTGTTCTGCTGCGGTTGGGCTGGGCACAGAAAGGCAGGTAGCTTACTTATCCAGGCTCTTTCCCACAGCCCAGGACGTCTTCCTCCTGAAGAATCAGCCCCGTTACCGGAAACTGGGCCTGGAAGTCTATGTGACATTCTTTGAGATCTACAATGGGAAGGTAGCTGGCAGGAAGCCCTCTGTCTCTGCTGTCGGGGCCCCTGAAATTTCTAAAACCTTGAGGCAGCTGGAAGTTACAGAAGCCAAGCAGCCTGCTGGCCAAGAGTTATACAGGCTCAAGCCTTTGACAGATCACTTTGTCCTGGCATGTGTGGGAGGTTCCTCTGATGGTGGACCCAAGCTCAGCAAGGATGGCAGGGCTCCCTCTCAGGTGGAAGTTTTGCCTTATGTGTGCCCTGTCCTCCCAACCCACCTTCCTCCTGACTTTTTCTCTTCTTTGCCTCCTTGCACACATTCATACTGTCTCTCTGCCTCTGTCTATGCTTTACAGAGTTGCCTTCCCCAGAGAGGGATCTAGATGATAAGAGCTAATGTTTATTATTAGTAATATAAGCTAAGCACTATTTTAGGTACTCGTCTCAACCCAATTAATCTTCACAATGTCCCCATGAGGTAGAGATTATCATCGCTATTTCTCAAATGAGAAACAGGCCTAGAGTGTCAGGTAACTTGCCCAGGCTCTTAACAGCTGGTAAAGCAGCAGAGTCGCATCAAAGGGAGGCAGCCTGGTTCAGATCCCAGGTGTATGACCCTCTGCTAATCTGCCATCTACCTGGTAGTATACTCTCTGCCTTTCCCACTGCCAGCCCTTGTCTAAGTGGGGCAGGCTTGAAGGAGGGAGGCGTCAGGTGGGGTGCCCGGGCGCCTGACCCTCAGCCTCACGCCCCTTGCTGGCACAGCTGTTCGACCTGCTCAACAAGAAGGCCAAGCTGCGTGTGCTGGAGGATGGCAAGCAGCAGGTGCAGGTGGTGGGACTGCAGGAGCACCTGGTTAACTGTGCTGATGACGTCATCAAGATGATCGACACAGGCAGTGCCTGCAGGTCAGAGTTGTGGCAAGGGGAAGGGGCAACCTTCTAATGCCCAGTTCAGGTGGTGGAGACTGGCTCTGAGCCCACTGCCATTTCCACAGAGCACCCCTTCCCACCAGCTTGGTGTGGGCTGTGAAGGCCTCTGCTTTAAGGGATGTCTGCAGGGCAGATGACCCAGGGCCAGAGGCTCATGAGGAGCATGTCTATGCATCCTAAGTCTAACCAAGACAGGCTTTCTTCCCAGGCTGTTACCTCAAAGGCATCAAAGGCATTCTTCCTGGCTTCTCTGGGTTTCTTGCTGTTCTCTCTCCTCTTGTTGGTGGGAAACTGGAGCTCTGGGTCTATTCTAGACTAGAAGTAATAGGGCCATAACTCCTCCGTACAGAGGTAGGGAAGTGCTTTTCTGCTAGGGACCTAGCCATGGTGGCCCACTGTGATGATGGAGCCAGCTTGGGCTGGGCAGCTTGTGGAGGCCCACGAAGGAGGCTGCCCTCTGCAGGGCCCTCAAGTTCTGGTAAGTGGTTCACGAAAGCCCCTCCTTCCCTGCAGCAGGGGCAACTCATCCTTCCCGGATCCTTATGGGCCCCAAGGTCTGACCAAGGCCCTAGCACAGGATCCAGTTTTTCTTTAGCCACTAGGAAAATGTATTTGGTCCAGAGCTGGGGGACAACTGCTGCCTAGGGAAGGCACAAAAGAAGTCTGCATCAGGAAGACACCTGGTGTCTTGGAGTCCTGACCTGTGTCCCTTCCTTACCAGAGAACTCACTGCTGTGGATTGGGGTAGCTTAGACTCTGGGGTGCCATGGTGGCTGGTGACCCCAGAAGCTCATCACCTTCCTTTGCCCTCCTTTGTCACAGGACTTCTGGGCAGACATTTGCCAATTCCAACTCTTCCCGCTCCCACGCCTGCTTCCAGATTCTTCTTCGAGCCAAAGGGAGAGTGCATGGCAAGTTCTCTTTGGTGGATTTAGCAGGGAATGAGCGAGGTGCAGACACTTCCAGTGCTGACCGGCAGACCCGCATGGAGGGTGCAGAAATCAACAAGAGTCTCCTGGCCCTGAAGGTAACGGGGACTAACTCCAGGTGGCTGGCCAGGAGGGCTGCTGGTTGATGGAGGGAGTTGGCAGGGCGAGAGGAAAGAACAGACCTCAATTGCTTCTGCTGCTCCACAGGAGTGCATCAGGGCCCTGGGACAGAACAAGGCTCACACCCCATTCCGGGAGAGCAAGCTGACACAGGTGCTGAGGGACTCCTTTATTGGGGAGAACTCAAGGACCTGCATGGTGAGTAGACTCACTTTGGAGGCAGTGATGTAGGAGGAAGCAGTTGCTTTCCAAGGAGACATTTAATCCTGTCCCTCTGCAGGAAGCTCAGTACCCTGAGCTCCCTGGGTTTCGAGGCTCTAATGTATCTAGACTTCTACACCCTGCTCTTCAGCACTAGCCTCCTCGCTACCTGCACAAGCAGGAAGAAAAGGATCTGCTGCCTTTACTATAAGTAGGTGCAGCTCTTGGTTTGTGGGAGGCCGTTCCTCCCCTACCTGCTGAAAAGCGGGGGCTCCCGAATTCAGAAGGACCTTTGAGTAAGCAGGAAAGGGAAGACCTTGTCTCCTCCTGGCTTCCCTGGGGTTCACTGGCTGGAGCATGGGGCTGCTATGGCTTTGAATGACTTTCATCTCCTTCCCTATTTTATCCCTAATCTCTTCTAGTTAAAGTCTGCTCTTAACACTCAGTCATCCCTCCCCTCCAGGGAATATCCTCTCCCCTGCCTCCTGGTAGGGGCTTTGCATGACGAAGGTGGAGTTTTCTTAACAAAGCTCTAAACTGTTCTCTCATGGCTTGGGTGAACTGTAGGTTCCATCAGGAGCCATAGATCCTTGAGATATGACCTTGGTCGCATGAATGTCTCTGTAAAGAAATAAAAAAGTATGAGGTAATCAGATAAGCCTTTAAAGGTAGGGAAACATTTTTTAAGATGCCTTAATTTGCGATGCCCATGGGGCAAGTTGCCCAGCACAGAGTGGGAGCTTAATGAGGGTATCAGCAGTTTGAAGAGACTACTCTTGGTGGCCATTCCAGTAGCAGACTGTCTAGTGCCCTTACCCTGTGATCCTCAACCCTTAACCACCCACTGCTTCTCTTACAGATTGCCATGATCTCACCAGGCATAAGCTCCTGTGAATATACTTTAAACACCCTAAGATACGCAGACAGGTACTAGTACCTACAGCCATGTGGGATCGCAAGGGGTCAGTACAGGGGGAAGGAATGGCAATAACAAGAGATGGAGGGAGGCAGGGATGGATTACCCAGTAAGCAAGGTACGCACAGGCTTACATCTGAGGCTTGAGGCTTCAGACATAATGCTAGAAGGTCTGTCACAGATCCCCTCAGGCCTTGGTGGAGGAGTCAGCAGTGCATGAAGTTCTTTTCCAGCCCAGCTTCAGTTTATTCCACCTCTCTGGGCTGAAGGCAAAACTGCGACTGCATCGCCTCAGAGCCCCAAACCTCGCAGCCTGACTGAGTGGTGCTGCGCTCGCTGCGTGCCAGGGAGGCTGTTGTGGGACTTGAAACCTTCTTGTTTCTTCAGGGTCAAGGAGCTGAGCCCGCACAGTGGGCCCAGTGGGGAACAGCCAACTCAGATGGAAACAGAAGAGACGGAAGTCAGCTCTAATGGGGCCCTGATTGAAGGCAATGTAAGGGGGCAGAGTGGGGCCAGGCAAGGCAGCAGTGTGGCTTGCTGAGGTGGGAACTCAGCCACAACTGTTGTGTCTCTCCTTTTGGCCCCCTTAGTTCTCCAGGGAAGAGGAGGAACTGTCTTCTCAGATGTCCAGCTTTAATGAAGCCATGACTCAGATCAGGGAGCTAGAGGACAGGGCCGTGGAAGAGCTCAAGGAGATTACCCAGGTGGGAACATGGCCCCTGGCCTGGGAGGGACTGGCCAGCCATCCCTAGCACAGGTGCTGTGCAGTGCTCAGCACCATTCCTTGAACATACCTGGGCTTTGCTCCACAGTCTTTGGGTCAGAATGGCAAGAGGCAGCTCTCTACCCTAGTTTTCCTTAGTTCTCCACCTAGCTGTTCTTCTGGGGTAGCTAATCACCACACCGTCTTCTCCAGTCTGGCACACAAGACTTCCTGCATCCACCTAGCCAGAGCTAGTCTCTCCTCCATGTTCCTGACTGAGTTTGGAAGGTGATTCATATGCAGGGACCTCATTTTGTTTATTCAGTGAATGTTCACTGAGTACCTTCTATATGTCAGCTCCTGTGTAGAGACAAAGGACCAAAAACATCAAGTATGAGTAGTAAGCCCTAAATTAAGACTTGAGATAAAATTCTGATGTTTCTATTTACAAGCTGATTTCTTTGGGAAAGTCATTCAGCCTCACTGGACCTCAATTTCTTCATCTCTAAAATGGGTGAGACAAGATGGTTGAGGATTAAGTGATATGCTTCTAAAGCAGTCAGCACAGGGCCCAGCATGTGGGCAGTGTTTAGTAAGCGGTAGATCCTACTGCTTCTGTGATCCCTGCTTCGAAGAACAGGTGGTGGGGAGAGGTGTGAAAATGAAGAGCCTGTGGCACTTATAGCTGAGGAAGAAACATGAAGGATAAGTGCATAGGCACATCCTCCCCTTCCTGGAGTGCTCAGGGGTACAGACGTTTGAAAGGACATGGCACTTTGGGGACGACTGAGAGGTTGTCTATGGTCAGAGCACAAGGTGTGAGTAGAATTAAGGCTGTGCACAGGTCAGCAGGGACCTGATGTTAAAGCGTCCTGTAGATCTTAACCAAAGACCTGGACTTCATTGTGAGGGCAGGGGGAAGCCTTTGAAGGGAGTTAAACAGAGTGGTGACATGGTCATATCAGAGTATTAGACATATCACTGGCCACGGTGTGGGGCCTGGTTTAGAGTCTTGGGGAGAGCAACAGTGGAAGCAGGGAGAGCAGTTAAGAGGTTGTTGGAACAGTTCAAGAAAGACGTACGTGTCTAGACTGAGGTGTGGCCTTGGCCATGGGATTGGGGTGAGGGTATGAGATTTAGGAGCTGTTTCTGGGATGGAACTGGCAGGATTTGGTGATACGTAGGGTGAAAGAATAAAGCTGTCACTCAGATTTCTGGCTTGGGTATCAGAACAGATGATGTCATTCATTTGACCTAGGGGACAAGTTTGGGGTGAGGAAGAGGATGGATTCAAGTTTGAGGACTTCCTGGGAGGTGGTCAGGAGGCAGGATGTGGCTGTCTTATGTAGACATCTTCATTGCTTATATAAGGTAGGGCCCCAGGAATGGTTGCTAAATTGGCTGGGTCATTATTGAACTGACTCAGTCCTTCTCCCTGTATGTTGCAGCAAGGGCCAGACTGGCTTGAGCTCTCCGAGATGACCGAGCAGCCAGACTACGACCTGGAGACCTTTGTGAACAAAGCGGAATCTGCCCTGGCCAAGCAAGCCAAGCACTTCTCAGCCCTGCAAGGTGGGTTTGGCTGGATGGGGGTACAGTTGGAGGGTGGTATCGTCTGCTGGCTCCTAGACAACTGCAGGTGTTGGCAGCTCTGCCCTGAGTGAATGGGGGGCCTCTGAGACTCCACTAACCCCATGTGCACCATGACCCCTTCCTTCCAGATGTCATCAAGGCCTTGCGCCTGGCCATGCAGCTGGAAGAGCAGGCCAGCAAACAAATAAGCAGCAAGAAACGGCCCCAGTGATGACTGCAAATAAAGATCTGTTTGGTTTCACTCCCAGCCTCTTCCCCTTCCCACCCCTCCCCAGCAGACTCTAGGCACCTGGTGGGTCTACTCAGGGTCTGAGCTGGGACAGGCTTTGGTAAATGCCAAACATGCGAGCATCTGGGCCCAGGGCAGCTGGGGAGGGGGTCAGAGCTATGACATGGGACAGTATTTTCCTTTTTCTCCACTGCAGCCCTTGTGGGAGCAATTGTAAATGCCCTGCTGTGGCCTTGCCTGGTCAGCTCATTCCTATTGCTCCAGTTGGAACACAGCGCCTGGAACCTGTGTGGAAGGAGGGAGCTTTTTTCATCCCTGTGTGTTGCCTTTCCTTTCTATCAAGAGGGGGAAGCTTTCTGATGTAGAGTTTTCCCTTGGGCAGCATTCTGTCTGCATGGACTGGCTGCTGGTGGAGGCCTCCCTGGGGTTGTCCTGGCTCTGGGGAGAGAGAAGGAGCCTTTAGTCCTGCTCTCTGCCATCTCTGGCCTGCCTTCCACACCCTTGGTCCGGGCACTGATAGTCTTGTACTTTAAAAAAACCTTCCGGGACCTCTTTCTTCCTTGTTTTTTGAGGCCAAGAGGATCCCTGCTGTTTCCTGTTTTATGTGTTTATTATACACGTGTCTAACAATAAAGAAAAATCTCAGCCTTTTGTGTGATGTGTGAAAAGGGCCTGGGATGTTTCTGCACCTCCTGGGGCCAAGGACAGTACTGCAGTTTGGCCATTAAATAACCAAATCTATGAGTCTGGATTCAGAAGTTTAGCTGAATCAAGAAGTTTGACAGAACTGGTACTAGCTCTGTGGCCCTGAAAAAAAGCCTCCAGATACCTGAACATTACCCCTCATCTGTAAGATGAGGCCACCAGTACCCACCTCACAAAGTTGGGAGAATTAAATGAAAGAATGCCACTACCCAGGACCTGGCTACCTCACCAGGAATACCAAATGAGCTCCTAACTAGTCTCCCTGATGGAATTAATTCCCATTGACCCCTTCTCCCCAGGCAGCCAGAGGAATCTTTATAACAAGTCATCTCCTGCTTGGAATCTTAACAACTTCCCCTTGCACGAAGGATAAATGCCCTACCATGGCCTACTAAGTCCTGCCTGGTTAGCTCCTTTCTAGTACTACAGCTGGAATTAAGGCAGAACAGTGGAGGTTTACAGCCCAGTATCTGAAGTCATGCTGCAGGACTGGATTCTAGCTCTTCCTGCAGAATCTTAAAAGCAACTTGATTAACCTCTTTTCTGTCTATGAAATGGGGATAATATTAGTATAGAGTTGTTATGAAAGTTAAGTGAGTTGTATACATACCCACTGCCCATCTGTCAGTTTGTCGTACTGTGGTGGCTTGTGTGTTGCTATGATGCTGGAAGCTATGCCACCAGTATTTCAAATACCAGCAGGGTCACACATAGTGGACAGGTTTCAGTGGAGCTTCCATAGTAAGACACTAGAAGAAAGGCCTGGCAATCTGCTTTGAAAACTAGCCAGTGAAAACATGGATAACAACAGAATGTTGTCCAGTATAGTGCTAGAAGGTGAGAAGATGGCACAGGACTGGGCAACATTTCGTTATGTCACACATAAGATCACCATGAGTCGGAGTTGATTCAAAGGCAACAACAATACACAGTTGTGAGTACAATGTCTCACATTAATAAGCACTATACAAGTGCTTGTTATGTACCAAAAAGAATTGGTCGATGCTCAACCATTTCAGGAGGTAGTATATGATCAAGAACCAATAGTACTGAAGGAAGAAGTCCAAGCTGCACTAAAGACATTGGTGAAAAACAAGACTCCAGGAACTGACTGAATACCAACTGATGTTTCAACAATTGGATGCCATGCTGGAAGTGCTCACTCATCTATGCCAAGACATTTGGAAGACAGCTGCCTGGCCAGAGATCTATATTTGTGCCCGTTCCAAAGAAAAGTAATCCAACAGAACGTGGAAATTATTGAACAATATCATTAATATCACACGAGTAAAATTTTGTTGAAGATAATTCAAAAACAGTTGCAGCAGTACATTGACAGGGAACTGCCAAAAGTTCAAGCCAGATTGAGGGCAGGATGTGAAATGAGGAATATCTGCTGATGTCAGATGGGTCTTGGCCAAAAGCAGAAAATACCAGAAAGCTGTTTACCTGTGTTTTATAGACTATGTAAAGGCATTCAACTGTGTGGATCATTACAAATTATGGATAACACTGCAAAGAATGAGAATTCCAGAACAACTGCTCATGCAGAACCTCTGCATAGACCAAGAGGCAGTTGTTCGAACAGAACAAGGGGATACTGCATGGTTTAAAATCAGGAAAGGTATGCATCAGGGTTGTATCCTTTCACCATACTTATTCAATCTGTATGCTAAGCCAATCACCCGAGAAGCTGGACAATATGAAAAAGAAACTTGGCACCATAATTGGAGGAAAACTCATTAGCAATCTGCAACATGCAGATGACACAACCTTGCTTGCTGAAAGTGAAGAGGACCTGAAGCACTTACTGATGAAGATCAAAGACTACAGCCTTCAGTATGGATTACAACTCAACATGAATAAAAAATCCTCACAACTGGACCAGTAAGTAACATCATGATAAACAGAGAAAAAACAGTTGGAGAGAGGAGGTATGGCTGACCTCCACCTCATAGGAATGATCAGCCTTGGGCTGATGTTTAACTTGATTCTCTCTCCACCCCCTCGTGAATTTAGATGAGGCAATCTGGCGTCACCACACCATTTCTACAAGTATGAACTGGTGATGATTAGATGTTGGGAGGAGTGAAAGAGACAGCAGAGTCAGGGACCACTCATTTCTGAGTTAAGTGACTAGAGAGATGGGAAGCAGAGGAAGAGAAGGGACAGGTCTGACAAGAGGTCAAGGATGAGTTGCATTTTGGACATGTGGAGATGGCCATGTCTGAGGATAGCCTAATGAAGCCAGTTATAGGGATCTGCAATTTCCACGTTCAGAAGTCCTGTGCCTGCTCCTGGGGCAGAGCTAGCCAAGCAGCTGCCATACTTCTGTTTTAACAGCCTGCTGTCTTTCCTTTGGTGGCATCTTCCCGGCACTAAAGGTGCAATGGCATTCATCAGCACACATCAAGCCAGTTCCAGCTCTGGGTCAGGCCCTCAGAGGAGGTGGCTCTCATCCGTCTCCCATAAGGAGGTAAAATGGAGGAAGGATGTCAGGAGAAGACAAGACCTAAGGCTTGGCTGTAGGGATGTCAGCTTGAGAAGTTCTAATGTATGCAGTAGGCAAGTGTGTGTGTGTATGTGTGTGTGTGCTTGGGGGGACAAGACTGAAGGATTCTGAGCAGGGAAATAACATGGTGAAACTGTCATCTCAGTATGTATAACCTGGTGGTGACAGGCAAGGTGAATTGGAGATAGGGAGACCAATGGGGAGGTTGCTACAATAATGCAGACAATGGTTATTTTTGTTTTGTTTTTGCTAATCATTAATATCACACAAAAGTAAGATTTTGCTGAAGATCATTCAAAAGCAGTTGCAACAGTATGTCCACAGGGAACTGCCAGAAATTAAAGCCAGATTCAGAAGAGGACATGGAACAAGGGATATCATTGCTGATGTCGGATGGATCATGGCTGAAAGCAGAGAACACCAGAAAGATGTTTACCTGTGTTTTATTGACTATGCAAAGGCATTCGACTGTGTGGATCATAACAAATTAACATTGGGAAGAATGGGCATTCCAGAACAGTTAATTATAACCATGAGGAACCTGTACTTAGAGAAAGAGGTAGTCTTTCAAATAGAACAAGGGGATACTGCATGGTTTAAAGTCAGGAAAGGTGTGTGTCAGGGTTGTATCCTTTCACCATACTTAATCTGTATAATGAGCAAATAATCTGAGAAGCTGGACTGTATGACGAAGAACATGGTATCAGGATTGGAGGAAGACTCAGTAACAGTCTGCAGTATGCAGGCCCTAATACATGGCATTAACAGGATGCAAACTATAACTAACAACACACAAACTCCAGAAGATAAGCTAGATAACTGGTATCTTCTAAAAATTAAACACTATGCTCATCAAAAAGACTTCACCAAAAGAGTAAAAGGAACCTACAGACTGGGAAAATTTTTTTGGCTGTGATAAATCCAACAAAGGTCTAATCTCCAAAATCTGTAGGAAAATCCAACACCTCTACAACAAAAAGACAAATTATCCAATTAAAAAATGGGCAAAGGAAATGAGCATACACTTCACTAAAGAAGACATTCAAGCTGCTAAAAGACACAGGAGGAAATGCTTGCCATCACTAGCCATTAGAGAAATGCAAATCAAAACCATGATGAGATACCATCTAACCCCAGCATTACTGGCACGAATCAAAAAAGAAAATAAAGGTTAGAGAGTATGTGGGGAGACTGGAACTCTTATGCACTGCTGATGGGAATCCAAAACTGTACAACCATTTTGGAAAACGATATGGTGCTTCCTAAGCTAGAAATAGAAATACCATATGATCCAGCAATCCCACTCCTAGGAATACGTCCTAAAGAAATAAGAGCCGTTACACTAATAGACATTATGCACACCCATGTTCATTGCAGCGTTCACAATAGCAAAAAGATGGAAACAACCTCAATGCCCATCAACAGATGAATAAATAAACTACGGTACATACACACAATGGAGCACTATGCAACGATAAAGAACAATGATGAATCTGCGAAGCATCTCATAACATGGATGAATCTGGAGGGCATTACGCTGAGTGAAATAAGTCAATAACAATCTGCGATATGCAGATGACACAACCTTGCCTGCTGAAAGTGAAGAGGACTTGAGCACTTACTGAAGATCGAAGACCACAGCCTTCAGTATGGATTACACCTCAACATAAAGAAAACAAATATCCTCACAACTGGACCAATAAGCAACATCATAATAAACGGAGAAAAGATTGAAGTTGTCAAGGATTTCATTTTACTTGGATCCACAATCAACACCC